ACAGTACTCATTTAAAGTATCGCTGTAAAAATATCGGGATCCTATTAAAATCGAGATAAAAAGACTCGACATTCCAAATATCGACACAAAATTCAAAAAATTGTATCTAAATATTGGTCTCATTTTCTAATAAAGAATTAACACTTTGCGCTTTAATAAGTGTTTGCTTATGTAAAGTTAAGCGTGTTAATTGACATCACCGAAGGCGCGGGTTGAAATCTTGCCACATGCCACCCTAAGACAGTACAAATTTGTGCTCTTTAAAGCTCAAAATATATCCATATTGCTATACAGTTGAATTCTAAAGCATCGACATATGGGCGTTTTCAGCCGAAGGTCATAGTATGATATAGATTTCCAAAAAATGGAGCCGCTGGGTAACGCCGAAGCCAAAATAAAAAATACATTCGACATAAAATTATTTTATTTGCGTTAAAAGTTAGTTAACAAAAGAAAATATAAACAAAAAACCGTTCAATGGAGGTTTTAGTAACGTAACGTCACGTTGCGCAGGAAAGATTTTAACATTTTGGAATTTGGAAAAACAACATTAAATATTTCAAAGCTTACCAAAAAGAATTTATACACACAGCCTTGTTCTGTTCCCAGAGTTTTTAAATTTGGACGTTTTCATTTTATTGCTCAACATATTGCCATACAAATGTGCCGCCACGACAGATTGGAAATGCCCATATGAGCACTTCAAAACGAATTTCTTAAAAGACAATTATTTTTACATACGGTTTCACCAGCAATTTAAATGGAAAATGATTTTTTTATCTTCTGTCAATTTCCATGCAAGTTTCGAAAAAATTTTAATCATTTTCCACTTAAGTTGCTTTCGTGAAATTGGCTGTTAATATAAAGTACAATATATTATTAATAACATTAACTTTGTAATGTACATTAAAGATTCGATAGGATACAATCGATTCCAAAAAATATCGTTTTAAAACTATCGACTAAGACGGGACCAATTTTAATCTCCCATTTTTTCCCTACTTTTCCAGAGAACCGAGTAGGGGAACGCTTTCTGATAATTTCTTGAAACTTCTTGCGAGTTAGGAAACGCAACTAACACTTACGAAACAGCCAAAAATTTAAAATTTAATCTAAGTAAAGTTTTTCGGAATGGGTACTTATGATGCCACATATTCCTAGGTACGTATGTACAAACATATTATTATACGTAACACTTTAGTGAACGATTACAAGTAATTTTTGAGATGGTATACATATGTACATATGTATGTACGTACATAAGAATGTAAGTAAATCTTGCTGCCATAAATTTCCATCCCTTTTCAAGAGTTGTTGTTAGGGGTAAAACTACTGAAAACGGTAATTAAAATTACCTTTTATCTGATGAATGAATGGCAAATGCTTTCTTTCACTTCCTTTTCGTTTCGCTCACGTGTCTCTGCTTAAGCAATTCAAAAGCAAAAACTGTCACCTAGTACTCACGTGCAACCGCTTTTGAACTCAATTCGCTGCAAACGGCCACGACATTGACAGAGGGGTTGCTAACTGTTTGTGGCGATGTGGCGCCAAGAGAGTCGCTCAATTAATTCGCTAAGGGCGAATAAAAATCTACTCAAAATAGTAAATTCTTTACTACAGCTTTCAATTTCTATGCCGGTACCCATTCTCTGTAGCTTGGAGCTCATTTCGAGTTTACCCTTAGTTGAGTCGTTTTATTTTTCTTTTGCTTTGCAGTAAAAAACCGGTTCCATAAAGCACCAGTAAACCAATGAAATTTTTACCGGTTAACAGCAATAGTTAAATAAGTACGATTATCAATAATACGGTGTTCGCATGAGGCGATTTTACAGGTAACTTTTAGTTGAAAGTAACAATCGCCTAGTGTGAACGGCTTTTCAACTAATCGCTTCCAATGAAGTTGGATTTTGATTCAACTAATCGCCTCTAAAATTGCCTCAAAAATCGCCTCATGCGAACACCGTATAATAGGCGGCATATACGGTGCGTATGACTCGCGAGTCGATTTGGATGTGTTTGTGAAAATAAATATCTGTTAGTTACATCGACACGACTCTGAATGATTCAATTGTGTGTAGTCGAAGGCGAGTCAACACGTATACAAATGACTCGCGAGTCAGACACACCGTGTATGCCGCCTATAAAGGTAAATAAAAGTTCTGTAAATTATCTCCGCCGAGTGGATAGAGCAAGAAAGCGTTAACTGAAGAATATGTAATTTTAAAAATTTTTCAGTGGTATGCGATTCATTTGGAAATCGAACGGAAGAGTTACAAGAAACCTTCGATTTAGCTAGATTTCCCGAATCCCCTCATATTGTTAATAATG